ACTGTGCAATAGTCCCTGCCCTGAGAGCCAAATGAAGCAGAATTATTAAAGAATTAGAGCAACTCGGAGACCATGAATAAAGGGAGTTTCATATGACATCATCCAGGCAAAGCCAGCAAGCAAACCTCCCGGGGGGTGAAGAATCACTGGGGTGTAAAAAGGTGTGGGCTTAGCCCAGATGGTCCCATCAGGTGGACACGTACCTCCCGACAGGTGTTATCTGACCGTGTACGCAAAAGGCGTGCGGTAATCTGAATGTGCCTTGTGGACAGGCTGAAGCAATCCCTTTGGAGTTAAATGCACATTAACCGGAAAGAAATTAAAAGGGTGTTTGTCCCGGCTTCCCAAGGGCTACCTGAACGTTCAGCGCCACGTTAAATCCAGAAGAAACACCTCAGCAACAGCACTGCTGCAACATGGAAAAAAAACCCTGATTTTTCCACTGACCCAAGTGATTACCACGTCTTAAAAACAAAGAATAAACCTTGCACTAACACCACAGAAAGTCAGTGACTTTCTGATGGGAATACCAGCTGCTGGCTTCTCAGGAACATCCAGTGTCTTTGACAGATGGCGTGGTTTTTTCACACCAGCACCTACCCTACTTCATTATCTCTTCCCATTGTATGAGCCCAAGGAAGGAAGATGCAAAAAGACGGCTCTCCTTGCTTGTACCCACCCAAGAATGAACGCTGCTCTTGCGATTACTCGTACTTGAGACCGCAGAGAGCACGGATAAGATGGCAAAGGGAGTAATTAATGCGTGTACTGCCAGCTGACTGACGGCTAACCGTGCTTGGTCAAAGAGATTTCTCCCTGGTGAAAGTCTAGCCATCAACCCGTGTCACAGACTGAAGTGTTACAGCCATTCTGAGCTGGGTTAGCAGGCAGAGCGCAAAAAAACAGGGCTGTGAAACGTGCACCGCGAGTGCAACTCCTCAGGTACGTACTGCTACGTGTAGCAGACACGCACAGCAAATCCCACGTTCTCGTTACGTGCGAACGAATTTGGGCTTCCCAAATTTACAACCCAACTAGGACCGCAAGCCTAAAAATGGAAACCGGGCTGTAACTAGAGACGTGGGATCACCAGAAAAGGTTGCAAAAGCAAAAAGGCAACGGCAAAGTGTTAAGCTGATTGGAATTTCACAAGATTGACATTGCTTAAAGTGCTTAGGTTGATTGCATTTAAAAAAAACCCAAAATACATAAAAATTAAAACAGAAAACTAATAATATTAACTACATAAATTATTATACAAATACAGTAACAGAGCAACATCAGAATCAGTGAATCACAGAATGGTTTGGGTTGGAAGGGACCTTAAAGATCATCTAGTTCCAACCCCCCTGCCATGGGCAGGGACACCTTCCACTAGACCAGGTTGCTCCAAGCCTCATCCAGCCTGGCCTTGAACACTTCCAGGGATGGGACATCCACAGCTTCTCTGGGCAACCTATTCCAGTGCTTCACCACCAGAAATAAATTAAACACTGATAAAAGGTACTAGAGTAGAACGGGTACACTGCCAAAAACTTCTTAAAATTCCTAGTACAGGTTCAGCCAAAAGACGCTGCTGACACTCGTCAGCCACAAGCGGCAAAAGAGAGACGAAACAAGGGGCTGTCGCTGAGAAGCATCGAGTCCCCGGCAGCTGCAGGCTGCCGGCGCAGGTCCCAAGCACACGGTGCTGTAACAGATGGGTGAAGATAAAAGATGGGTTGTGGTAGCATTTCAGGACCCATCATCATGTAACAGGCATTTGAGTTTCAGCCTAGTTAGGTCTTTAATATGTTTATTAAATCTAATGCGAAGAAGACACCTACTGCTTTATTTTCTTTACTCCAGCTGGTAGAGGAACAGGATTTTTCAGCTGTAATCTACTGCTCTGTGGTAACTGTAAATTATTAAAATAGGATTGTCAGGAGTAATTCTGGGACTTAATTTCAACAGGGTGTCCTGCTTCACTGGTATGGTTTCTTCTGCCTTCCTCTGCTATGTGCCAGAAATAGAAATTACATAAAATCCTGACAGCCTGTTCTGTGAAACATAAAAGTTGAGGTCTGAGCTCATCCTCTAAGATAACTGATTCACCAGCACTGCAGTGCTTCATCGGTTTGGTGGAAAACCAGCGCAGGACAAAAATGTCCTTTTTGCTGTGCAAGAACATAGTGAGATGATTTATAAATGGCCAATGCATCTCAGCAACAGCATGTCAAACAAGCTGGAAACTTCAGAAGTCGTTAGGCCTAATATACTTAGAACCCAACACCATAAAAAGAGTCATTCTAGGGAAGCACAGAATGCCATTAAACATCTGTGCTGCAATTTTGCTTTGTAGCTGCTGGTTGAAAAGCTTTTATTGTCCTAGATATTTTTCCATTCTTTCATAAGGGACTGGCAATCTATACATAAGCATAAGAGAAAAAGGATTATGCTTTATTTAATCAACTAAAATACATTACATCATATGATTGTTCCTGCCAGGATCCAAATCCTGCAAAACTTGTGCAAATGTGCTTAATTTGACACAGAAGTCCTGCTGCCTGGATGGGCACTTTTCACGCAGCCATGATGGACAGCTTTGCTGGACCGACGTCAAGATGTTCAGCACACTGTGAACTGGATAGGATGTATAGGATGGTGACTGCATTCCTTTTTAAATCTAAATAAAACACTCCTTGGTTTAGCTGATGTTAGCATAAAGTGGGAAGTTTTCAGAGCTGATGTCAAACTGTCACTGACGCTGGGCTGGTTGGTATCAGTGCTCTGATCTCTTCAAGGGCTACCATGAATTTAAAATGGTTTTTAATACTTTATGAAAAAGCTTATTGTAGTAACTTTACTCTCAATAACATACTGCAATTATTTGTATGTTTTACAACCTAGAGCTGTCTTGCAGCTGGAGAAAACCAGATTATTATCCTGTACTTTAGCATCTGAATATTAATTCATATTATTAACATTCTAAAAAAGGTCAAATTTCAGGTAAGTCAACTGAAATATGGAAAACATTTCCTAAAACAGAACTGATTTAAAAAGTATTGTAATGCAAAATTACTTTTCATATGAACATGAACCCTAAACATTCAAATGGTACATTAAGAACACCTTTTTGTTGCTTGTTTAACAGTTGAAGAATGCCCTAAGCACGTGCAGCAGTCAACCGCTGAAGTACAGACCCTTGGATCTGCACTGGTTAACACTGATCTAGAAAGTGCCTCCATTCACAACCAGAAAACCTTATTTAAGGCAAATGATTCTTATATTTTTATATGGGAATTCTAAATACTTATTAATAAATCCATTAAAGAGAGATTTTCAGGTTTAGCTTTTCAGTGGAAAAACTGCCAGGCCTCGGTGAGAGCTGTAGTCTCCTGCAGGATGTCTGTCTGCTGCATAACAGACAGAACATTTCATTCCAACATCCATAAAAGAACTAGAGTTGCATCTGGTTCTGCTTCTCTTGAGCCTGCGCACCAACCTTCCTCCAGGTGAGTGATCTCTGTAGACCACTGCTACGACTGACCTAAGTATGTACTCTGAGGTTACACTCTACATCTGTTTTCTGGTGTCGGTATAATATGATAAATCACAAATAACGTTAGATGAAAAAGTCCGCTCCTGTTTCTTATTCAGTGTAAAGTGCTACCTTTCCTTAGTTTACAAAATTGATAAATCCAACTGAACTTCAATTGATGCTACAGTAGAAGCTGGTACTTCATTTTCACCCTTAGTTAACAACAGACATTTCACATTCACAGTAGATTACAATGAAAAAACCTTATTCTCTTTCCTACAGAAGACTAAAATAGAAGATTTAGCTGCACTTCAAAAGCCATTTCTTGAAATGGAGTGCTGGCCGTAATGTGGCAGACAGGCTTCTTAAAAGACGACCCAAAAGCAACACTGTTTAATGAGAGTGAGTGAAATATAACAAGTAGAAATAGATTTGGTGAGATGAGAATGTTTCCTTGCACATACTAGAACCAAGCCTCAGTCCCCCTGAGGACAGCAAGAGTGGTTTTGCTGTTGACCCCACTGGAATAGGAATGTGGCTACTGAAGTTCAAGAATTGTGTAATGGAACCAAAGTGTCAAGCCCAGCAAGCTAGTTACCCAGTGTAACCACTGCCACAACCTGCTATCCATCCCCTCTCCTACCCTATTGATACTTCCTTCTACATGCAGTCTTTGCCACATGCCAGCATGTGTGCTCAGCAACTTTATTAGCCAGTGCATGACTACTGCCAGCCAAATTCACCCAGTAAACCCCCAAACTAAGCCTTTTGTTGTTTTTTAAAATCAGACACTCCAGAGCCCTAACTGTCTGCGGTGATCCAAATCCTGACAAACATGGCCAAAATGTTGGAGATGATACACACGTGACAGTGTGTTGCTAAGAAATGGACTCACTCTGCCTTGAAAAATGAAAATGGGACCTACAGGTATTCGGAAAACTACAGGATCAAGCCCTGTCTTACGCATTGTACCAACCAGACTTGTGTAAATGGACCGTGCCATTTCAGACCTGACAGATATGTTATTCATGAGCGCTGTCGCAATCTCTGCAAACTCAATTAAGTAAACAATCTATGATATTGTTTTATCAGAAAGATAAGGTCAATCTCTGTAAACGTGATTTATTTCCATGTCATATTGTCATCTCGCTCCCTTTACTCCCGTGCTTTCAAAGGTCTGAAATCTCACCTCATCTGCACTATCTCAGGATAAACAAAGTGACTGGACATACAGAATTACTTAGTTCCACTGTAATTTAAATCCCTCTATGCGGATTTTAGGCCTGAGGTTATTTACTGAAAGTTTTTAACAACCCAAACCTTAAATGATTTTGGAAGAACATCTTTTTTGCAGGAGGGAACAACATGTGAAAAAAAATCCCCTATGCAACCACAATTCCAATCATCAAGAAACAGATATTTTTTCCTTACGCTTCAAAGGGGTAAGTATGTGTCAGGATGTATTTAAAGGAATGCTTTTTAAGTCAACAAACCCCAAAGTCATTTAGAAAGTTTTAAATAATTTTGCCCTAAATGCAATGATCGCTTCCATACAAAATACTGCTCTAGCTGGATTGGGTTTAACAACCGACATCCAAATGTTATTATCTGTAAATGTTAGTCCATATAAATTCCAGTAAAATCTGACTGCAATTAACTCCTCAATCAGACTTAAAAACGACAAACACCCCCCTCCCTGTTCCCAAAACAAAGTTCCGCATGTCAAAAATGGATTGGTTATACTCAGTACCACATAGACCGTTTAATAGGAGACAGAGCGTATTGTTGTTCCACCGTACAAGACGTGGTCTGTGTGAAAGTCAGTCCAGGGGGGCCATCACCTTCTTCTGCGTGCAGCATTGTTGTGCGTAACTGCCACCGTTTGCCAAGTCACTCTCTTGACTGATAGAATAAAATATAGCCAGACTCTGAATTTTTTGATATATCAGAGGTGAGACCATAGAATTCTTCAATAGCTTGAGCATCTATTTTCTGCAAAACAAATGAAATCGTTTAAGGTGCTGTTAGGTAAAAGAAATAACAAACATGGATGAAATGACAGTATAAACACAAAAGAAAAATGCAGTTGTTTGTATCAGGGTAGCAATTAGCAAGTTCTCTCTGCAATTTAAGCAGTGAAAGGGTAACGCTCAGGGGCTAAGCCCTACTGGTTTCGCTCATGGAAGTCAATAGGAATGTTTGTCTCAGAGGACCTAACTGAATTAGTCTTTATCCAATAACAGAGACTCCTTGGAATGCAGTAGTAAACACTACTAGTGGTTAAAACACATAAACATGACCATGTGACCCCACCTTTCTGAAATTCCCAGAAACCCTCTTCAACACATGCCCCATCCAATGTCCCAGGGCTGACTTTCCCCCGTTGGATTCACTCCAGGAGAATCAGACTGAAGACCCCAGTTTTGCCAAGTGCCACAGTGGCATACAGGGTTTGCTTAGGAATGAACTGCAGCAGGCTTAGACAGAATCTGTAATAGCTGTGGGCCAGATCTTGTACTAATTTACATCCAGACAAACCCAGGCCAAATACAGAATCCAGACTTTCTTGTAACTCCCCACTTGTTCAAAGATGAAAAACTCTACAGCAACACTAACTTTATGCAGTCCAATTTTGCCAAGTGATGTTGCCAAGGATTGCAAAACGGTTCCTGGATATTTTAGGTTTTGAGGAATTAAATTGATTTTATTAGATATGAGTAAATGTTCCATAAATAATGAAAACAGTCCAAATTAAACCCTTGATGCCTGATATTAAAAATGTTTGATGTTGCTTTGAAATAAAACAACCCCCTCTGACATTGACAGAGTAAGAACTACAGGATTAATCATTTTGTTTGCAATCTTAGTTCCTAACAGAGTTGAGCTAAATGTCACATTACAACCCAGCTGTGGCTTTGCAGACTAGTAATCTGTACCCAGATCTGGATCAGAATCTTAACCCCAGAGAGAGAACAGAACACAAAAACAAACGTCATGCTCACGACCTTCAGCATACTGACCTCTACAATGTCATCGTCAAACAAGAGCCAAAATCCATGACTTTTCACGATAGTAATATAATGCCCCCGATTGGGTCCACTAGAAAGCAAAACAAAACCCCAAAAAATTGAAGGTACTGTCATGTCCATTCTGATAAGTCACATCTCTATATGCAAGCAGACTGAACCCTAACTAAATGTTACGCGAACCCACTCCCGGTGGTGCAGCAGACGGACTCCTCTCGCATTTTACGGACTTGTTGCAAAGACTTCAGCAACTGAAAGCTAAATGTGTTGTTTTCACCTGTGCCATGACCCTTTGCAAATTAACCCGTCAAACACTTAACCATTTGCTCACGGCAGGCATCAACTATTACAAATATTTTAAAAACATTATGAAATAATTTAAGGGAGAAAACTGTTTGGTATCGAATGTGAATAGTTAGTTACATCCAGCCTTTGTGAAGGGGGAGAACAAGTCGTATTCCTAGAGTTCCAAGGATTTTTCTGTGTGTTTCCTGGCTGGCAATACCCCGTATGCGAGAAGCTTTATTAAAGCTATCGTTTTCACTCCTTGACAGGAGGCCAAGGCGATCTGCTGGAAGGCCTACACGCTAGCAGCCTCTGCTCCTAACGGAGTACTGGCTCCCAAGCTCTAGGTGGACTGATGAGGACGGAGACACCTCCGTTAATTTAAGCCAATCTTATGACTTTTGGAGGCTGGAGACATTATGTTTTAAACAAGTGCAGGTTTACTATGAGGGCGGGTGGCCAAGAGGTTCAGACCATGACACAGGCAAGCTGAGCAGCAGCAGGGTTTATATCCTTCCTCCCTTCCTCCCTCTCTCCCCACGTTTTATCAGGCATGCCTCTGTCCTCGGGAAATGTCTGGCAACAGCTTGAGATATACGTGACAGTATCTTACCTTCCACAGTGAACAACAACAGCTACCAAGTCGTACATCCGATCTAAGTTGACAGCATCGCCAGATGTGTTGAAGAGACGTAACTCCAGAGGAAATACTACACGGTAAGACAGCTTAGTATACCTGTGCAACTGCTCCATATACTTGAATCTCTTGAGGTGTAAGGCAAGAATCATTGGCAGCTTTTTTACTCTCATCCTGCAAAATCATTCAAGCGCATAAGATACAGACGTGACCAGTTTACAGCCATTCTGTCTTTCCTTAAGGACTAAACGTTTGCATCATAAAAGCACTTTGTAAGTAACAGCGGTCAACTAGCCGTAGCTTCTGGACTGAGACACATGCAATAGCTTTGAATCTGTCTGTAGGTTCTCTGGCCCAGAGAGAGGATGCAGCTGGGGTGTAAGTGTCCTAGGTATCTAAACACGATAGATATCAAGGAACAGATCTGTCAAAGCCCAGGAGGGACATGGTGAAACAGCCTGCTCTTTACTTACCTCTTCTGTGCCTCTTGTTTGCTGCAGCAAGTTTCACAGTAGTATTTCTGTTCACTACATAATGTCTCTGTGTTACTGAAGTCTCTGTAAATAAATACAATTGTCAGTTCTTAAAGGATCTTAATACTTGCCCCGCTTGGGCTGACAAACTGGAACCCTAAAAAGACACACAGGACAAAATCCTCCCTTCACTGAGTCCAGTTTTCTAAAACATCTAAAGCAACTGTACTGGTGTTTGCAAAAGGACTAAGGTATTAGGAGCTGAGGCCCTCATACGTTACAGGGGGAGGGCCAGGTGTCTCAAACTGTGACTTATATCCTGGTCTCTCACATGTCAAGGGGCTGCCTAGGCTTGGGTGTAGTCACTCAGTCCATCCAGACCCTTTTAAAATTATTTGCAGAAAGGAACAGCTTCACGTGCACTTCTGTCATCCCCAAACAGCTCATATTTTATGGTGTTCTTCTGTAAGATAGGTTTGAAACCTCTTACACAGAAGAAATAAATTGAGCTGCCTTCTTGCATCCCCTAATCTCTTGACCTGTCATCCAGAAGTTATTTGAT